AAATAAATTGGACACACATGTGTAAATACCACATTGTTTCTCTGGTGTGAGAAACTGAAAGTGTAAATGAAGACCAAAATGCATAATAGATATTGTGAAATCGGAAGAAATGTTCAAATGGGAAGGGGAACTATGGAGGGGGGCAGGGGAAAGGAAGGAAGGGGAAAAATGAGAAAAGAAGAAAAAAATGGAAGCAAAGCTTTTGTAAATAAGGAGGGGAAGAGGGTTGAAGGGAGGGAAGGGGAATGGGGAATGGGGAAAAATAAGAACCAAGATATACATTGTACAGGCACAAATTCCCTGTGATGAATGTCATCATAACGTATACCTAAAATGTACCAATAAACAATAAAAACAAAAACAACAAAAACCCACCAGTCCTTAAATTACCAATGGACTCTATTCACAAAGTTCATTTTAAAATCAGGTATGTAGAGTTTGGACATTCCTGCTCCCAAATATACTTCTAATGGAAAAAGGAGCCAGAGGCATTTTGTCCCAGTGGTATTTACGATGGGCCCGTTCCGTTCCGCGCTGGGCCCTGGGAGATGCCCGTTTCACTCCTGTTTGTCATGGTGCAGGCAGCCTCTCAGCTGGGGGTCCCAAGTGCCCCTCAGCCGGCCCACTAGGCACTCCTGGGGCTTGCCACCCAGGGCTGCCTTTCACGGCTGTGTCAGCAACGTGGGTTCCCCAACAGTGCAGCGGAGTATGCAATCATCGGGAGAGCAGGAGAGCTGAAGAGGGCTCAGGAAGCAGCGGAGCAGCAGCGGTGAGGGGGCAGGGCTATGGGGAGAGGGGCTGGAGGTGAGAAAGGCCCTGGGGTTATTCAGGTCAAGCGACTTGAGGTTTGGGGTTCAAAAGCACTCCTAACACCCAGTGCCTGGCACTTCGGAAGAGTGACCAATGTCAATTTTTGAATAAAATAACGAGGAGATGAATAGAAAAGGGTGAATATCTTGCCCTGTGTACATCAAACTGATCACTCCCTATCGTAAGCTTCATGAAGATCTTTTTTCATGAATCAACCAACCAGGCACCCGCTGTTCATTCTGAACTTTTCTGTGCTACGGAGACAAACCTGGGAATCATTGTACAGAGGATTCCGACAGAAGTTCTCCAAACACAGACATGCATGAGAGAGGCCGTCCCAGGGTGGGCAGGGTGCGGGGAGCCCGAGCTGCACAGACGTCACAGCCCTGCCACAAGCAAACACAGCAGCTGCCCTTGCAGCAGAGACAGCCCGGTTCCAGGAGACCCTCGAGGACAACGCCACATTCCGAAGAGGCAACGCTGCGCCCCGCCCTGCCTTCTGCCCTGCGTTCGTCCGCACTCAGTCATCCAAAGGTGCGTTCCAGGCTGGTGGCACCATGCCCGATGCCGGAGTGAATTCTGGGGAGCAAACTCCGTACCTGACTCGCTGGAACAGCACCAAGGAAGAGGCAGTGCTGATCGGGGTGCTCACCACCAGGGTGCAGTGATTGTGGGGAAATGCCCAGGGCCACTAGGGGAGGCCTGGCCAGCACAGGCTTCTGAGGGGAAGTGGCCCTTGCTTGGGCCCCGCTCTGCACAGGCAGGAACGGGAGTCTTGCGATGCAGTGAGCTGCCTACCCGGTAGGACAGGGCAAGCCTGTGATCCCAGCACTCCGGGAGGCTGAGGCAAGATTTAGTTCGGCCTGACAACTTGGTGACTTAGACTCTGTCTCAAAATTAAAAACAAATGGGTAAACAAACAAACAAGGGCTGGGAATGTGGCTCAGTGCAAAGGCCCTGGTTTCAAAGCCCAGTACCACACACGGCCAAACATCAAAAGGCAAGAACGTCGTCAGCTCTCCAGAGCCGCACATCACGTGGTCTTTTGTTCCCAGCCAGTCACATCCAGGACTTAACCGCAGGAGGCCTGAGGCCGGACAGAGCACTTCTCCCTGCAACTGAGAGGCCAACTCCCCTCCTGGCATCGAAGCTTTCCCAGGGTGCCGCCTCCCGCCCCGGCAGCGGCCCACACGGGCCACGAAGGGTGCTCGCAGAAGTGGCAGGGCTGTGGCCAGTAGAAGGAGCAGCACACAAGAGCAGCTCTCCACTGAGAGGCCTGAGAAGTCAAGGAGAGGGCACTGCTGACGGGTGGGCAGCTGCGGGGGGGCCACGCCCCAGCCTGGCAGAAGAGCGCCGGCTGCAGTGCATACACTACTCAAGCCTCCAGGTCCTCAGATCAGACTGCATCCAGGAGTCAAGGGAAGGCTTAAGTGAGGCGCTTCGCATAAAAATAACCTGGTGCCCAGTCCACAGCTTGGTAAATATTAGCTCTCTAATTCTCATTATCAGTATCGGGCCCACTGAACAGGACAATCTGGGGAGGCCCCACATCATGGCCTACAGGCATGGCGTTGCTGGAGCGGTGTGCGCACAGCCCACACGTGTCTGGAAGATCCCGACCATGCATGAGTGTGCAGGACTCGTGCCTTTCAAGGGAGACGCACTCACAAAGGAGCGACGAAGGACAGTGCGCACACAGCAGGCAGACCCTGTGAGGAGCCGCCTGCACACCCATGCGGCAGGTGGGGATGCAGCGTGCCCTGGGCCTGGGGCCGAGGTCGCTGGGTGACGGAGTAGAAGCACACACCTGCACACATGCTACCTGGCGAACATGGCAGTGGACCAAGGGTGTGAGAGGAAAGCATGACTGACAGGGACCCAGGGAGCCTGGAGGTGACATGGTGGCCCGAGGTATTGTTTAACAAGGGCACCTCTGATCGAGAAAGTAAGGACATTAATAATGGCAGCCGGGCAGCCAGGCAGCAGGATGCACACACCCTGGTCCTGATCTGGCTGGCGGAGGCCCTCATCAGTTAATGATGCTCACGGAGACAGACAGGTGACGCTCTCCCAGAAGCCTCGCAGCAGCGGGGCTGTGGGCTGGCTAGGCACACGACAGGCGACCCCTCTCCCCATGCCTTGCGCTCATGCTCCCAGTTCGGTGTCCCTCCAGGGCACCCCGCGAGGATGCGGCCACCTCCATACCCAGGGGCAGGCAGAGGAGAAGGCACTCTCGAGAGGGTAACTGCGAGCCCGCTTCCTGCTGCCACCCGTCTTGTCTTTCTTCTCCAGAAATGATGAACCTCTGATGACCTTAAGTACAGGCCCTGGGCAGACTACCTCCTACAGCTCCTCTTCCTATTCTGAGTTGTTAGACAGCGGTATCTGAGGAAGGATCTAAGAAGATCCATCTGTATGGTGCATGTGAAGATGTCAACTTCTTGGCATGCGTGGTGCCCTCGGAGAACTGGAATTTCCTCAGTGCCTCTGTGGCAAGGATTTTCCATTCTCTGGGGTTAAGAAGGAACTATAAACAGAGCTTGCAGCGTCCGATTGGCTCTAGCACCCTGGAAAACTGGCTCAAGCACCAGCAGTCACCTCCAGTTCACTTCTGAATGCCCTCTCCCTCCGGCTCCTTAGAGCCCCTCACAGGGCTGAGTCTGGCATGAGATGAAGAGGGCGAGTGAGAAAAGAGGCAGCTTTAGGGTGGAAGTCTGAAGGGGAACTAGAGAGACCTGAGAGGCTCCACTGAGGGAGGGAGACAAGGGAGCCTCCTGTTCCCGCTGCACCATCTCTGCCTAGCCCGTGCCACGACGGCCCCAAGGCTGCTGTCTCTGATGTTCTCAGAATGACCTGGCAGAGAGGTTATTAGCGCCTGTCCTACAGAAGGGGAAGCCAGGGCTCAGAGAGACTAGGAACCCTTGCTCCAAGTCACCTGGCTAATGAGAGGCTGAGCTGGATTTCAACAGGTCTGCATGGTCCTAAGAATCCTGCTTCCTGGAAGTGTATGTGGCTCCAGAACAATTTACCAGACATGTAACTGCTCCAGGCATTCCTCCCTGCCACCTGTGCCCTCGTGGAAGCACAGAAATCCAGGAGAAAAACAAAGAAGAGACTGAGCAGACATGGACAAGGTCAGATCCCTTGGAGAGGGACGACTGCTGCCCGTGGGACTGACCCATCAGCAAGGAGAGGAGAGGGCTGGGAGTCGGATCCTGGGCGGGGGGTGCATGCTTGCTGTGCAGACAACAAACTTAGTGTTGATTCGCTTCTCTCACTTGCTAGGTATTCGGCACTTGCACAGAAAACAGATTTCCAGAACCTCGATTTTCTCATCTGCAAAATGGCATGATGATGATGATGATGATATTCCTCACTGTCTAGTGGCTGAAAGCATGAAGTAAGGTGATGCGCAGCATAGTGGAGGTTCAGGACAACCGCCCACACTGCATGTGCACTTTCCCTGCGCTCTGAGAGCCACTCCGGGCAGGGGACGTCTTCTTGTGGCTCAGGTCTTTGCACTTCTGATCGCACGCACTTTTTATTTTGTTCCAATGTCAGTGGGAACGAGTGGCTTTGCCTTCCACAGAGGAACATTCCGTCCGGGAAACCGAGGCTAAACTGCTAACGACTTACCTTCCCAGCCAGACTTCACTCCAGAGAAGCTTAGGATTTTCTTTAGTCCAACATTAACTTGGAGTGTGTGTGGGCGGGTGTCTAGTTTATTTCTGCATCGACTGAGCAGTTTCTTCAGATTGCATCATCTTTTTAAATCCTTCACTCATTACTCTGGGTTTCCCATGAGTGCCTGGCAGCCAAAGCCATGAAAAGAGGAAAAATACAAAGGAGCCCCTACCTGCAGTCTGTCTTCTGGCTCTCACCCTGATGCGGAATGAGTAAGTCTGGATGGGGGATTTAAAGTGCCCATCCCAGCTGCCCTCCTGGAAGTTGTCTGCACACACTTGGCCCACGCCCGCCAGGTCCTCTTCTGGCCCCCTGCACCGTCAGGCAGACACAGGATGCCCCTTGCCGGGCACCTCCCAGCCACGCCAGCTGGCAGGGAGCCGAAAGCCCACCTGGGCAGGAGCCGGCGGGCTGCGCTCATGGCCTCCCTGGCTTCCCAGGGAGCGGTGTGATGCTGGGAGGGTGGAGCCACGCGCGGCAGGTGTGCCCCGCGTAGCTCTACTTACTTCTTGCCATTGCTCTGCCCTCCAAGTGTGCAGGGGGCACGGCGGGGCTGGGCAGGCACGCTCCGCCTCTGGTCTGGTGACCGAGTTGCACTCGCTCTCTCTGGCTGCTTTCTGTGTTCCGACCTGACAGGCCACATGCCGCTGCTGTACACCCTGGCCGCAGGACACAGAGCACTGAGGAGACAAGACATCGTAAGTGGGTGCTGGGGCTCCTCTGTGGGAGAGGAAGGTCGCAGCAGAGGGAAGTGCTGTCCCACCCAATCCCATGACGTGTACGGTTGTCACCACTGAAAGGGACAGCACAGTCCGGTCTGAAACCTGAGCTCACTGCTCATCAGCGCTGCTGAGGGAGGCAGGTAAGCTGACTGCTGGGGTCTCTAGAGTTCTCAGGATTTCGGAGGGCTGAAGAGGTCGGGAGAGACTGTGATGAAATACTTAGCACAACCTAGAAGTAACACTGCCACATGAAAGGAAAATGCTTAATCATTTCTGTCCTGGAGAATGTGAGCTTCCTGAACATGGGAGACATACCACTGTGCACGAATGCCTTGGCAGGCTAAAGACACAACCCAAGGAGGTGAGGCCGCTGAAGCAGAATCGCTTTCTCTAGCCTCTTCCTGTTCTTGCTCCTATTTTTGGAGACACAGAATTTTTTTAAACCATGGAATTCACTAAAGTATTTAGGTTTATTTACAACCGCAGCTAAAAATACAAGGAATAAAAACCAACAAGAAAAACCATTTCCTTGGGCTTTCTGTGTTCGGCCCCTGAAAAACACTATTAGGCATGCTGAAATGTTCTGTTGACCAAGTTGCAAAACACCATATTAAATCTCCAATTAACTTTCCTCTAAATTAATGTTTAATGGTTTCCTCATTGCTGGGCTACATAATCTCACTTATGGGCAGGCCTAGAATCATTGTCTTTATTAAGGTTTTGACAGTGAGAGATAAAGACAACCTTTGATTAGAAAAAAGAGCATGTTATAGCACTTAGCTATTAAGAATTATTACTGGGTTTTTGTGATAGCTCAGCTCCATTACTTTGTCTGGTGTTAAGCAAGTTTAGCATACATTAGTCCTATATTCAAGAACAGGATGAAGCTCTTTTAAACTAGAAAGACATTCCTGTCCAATCTGCAGCAGGAGCCAGCTTCCCTGGGCTGATGGGAATTCCCTACCAAAAAGCACACCCTGACGCTTCTCTCTAGTTCAGATTTTAAGGAAACGGGTGATACTTTTTGGAGAGTAGCTTAAGAAATTATAGTGTTTCAGATGAATCTATGCCAGGAGTGGCTCACAGCTCACATCAAAGCTTTGAGGAAGAGAGAAAAATATTTCGGATCAACATTGCTGTATTGTTTGGGTTTAATTATATTAATTGGATTGAATGAGTCTGTGACTTACAAGAAACCAGACTTCTAAAGAGATTACGTCCTGGGTGGAATGGGAAGTTCTGTTCTCCGGTGATGGCCCTGTCTCCAGAGAATGGCCATTTGATGGCCATGAGAGTGTCATGAATAATATTTCTCACTGGTTACACTGGGGGAAAAAAGTGAACTGTAGCACGTGAGAGTTACCTCACAAACAACAGAAATGTTCCAACAACTTCAACCATCAACAGCAAGTCACAAGCTGCCACCACCACTCTGGCTGTTTGAATTGGGCTCATAAATATAAGAGTATATTTCTGGAATAATGGCATCCAATCAGAAACACAAAGAAAGAATCATGGCATTGCAAACAATTTAAGTCTGCCATAGAGTTGATATATGTCCAGCATTTCATAATATTTTGGTAACCTAAAGAAAAATTAAAAATTTAAGTACTTTTAGAGTATATAATTCTATTTAGGCTATTAAGTAAATGAAGCCTCTTTTTGAGGCTTATGGCTCATTGACTTATGGTTCAATGAAAGTAAGGTATCAAGAGTCACGAGTACGTAAAATTTTAGAAAATCAGTGCTCATATGTTCAATAGTTTTCAAAGGACAAATTAAGACACAGGAAGTTTCAATTACATAATACGTTGTTCCGGCTGCTGCTGTTTATGTCAGAGCCAGCTTTGAGCTAGCACCGTCAGGAGTTGGAGCACAACTTAAATACACAGCAAGGTGCACCGCCTGCTCTGGAACAGCCATCACAGCAATCTGCTCACAGTGAGACGCGCTCATCGCGTTGGCTCCGCTCCTTGTCTGTGCTCACTGACTCTTCCCAGGCTGTCTCGTGGGAGGCAGCAATTTGACACAGGGCCAGGCCACCTTGCATGGTGAATTCTGAGAGATCTGTGCCAGAAGCCATGACTAAAACAGCTTCGGGAGGACTGCCGAGTGAGCCTGTGGGTGGGGATGGTGTGTATGCCTATGTGCTTAATTTTTCTACTCGTTGGGGACACCTTTTAGTCACTTTGTGGGGGAAGATGTCTGCATAGCCTCTACTAATGTGGTCCCCACCATCCTAGCACAGTGTATTTGTGCAGTGCTGAAAGAAGGTGCTTTCACCTCCGAACTACGGAGCATCTCGCTCTGCCGTGCAAGGCGATGTGCAGAACTCAGCCTGTGGGGAGAGCTTGGTGCTTATTTCCACAGGCAAAGAGACTATCTATGGAACTTCTGATGTCTGGGGTATCATAATATACACTTGAAAACCTAGAAAAGAATTTTACATACTTTTCTTCTGGTATTACTGCTGAAATTATGGTAATGGCATTATTTTAAAGCGGAAATTAGCTTCTAAAATAACTATATAAACCCATTTTTATAAATAACAGTAACAAGAGCAAACTTTTACTGAGCACTTACTAAGCCATACTATGGGAGGGTTCCTCACCTGAGGAACTCTTTGTTGTGGGGGTTATGCTGTGCACGGAGGGGTGTTAGCTGTGTCTTTGGTTTGCACCCCAGTAGATGTCAGTTACAGCTCCCCTCACCACAAGCTGTGACAGCCCAGCTGTCTCCAGGCATTGTCCATTGTCCCATGGGGTACAAAATTACTCCCAGGTCAGGGTTTAGCTCTGTGCTAAGTATTTCCCTTAAAATAGCTTTTCTATCGCCTAATAAGCCTTTAGGTAGATGCGCCATAAATAAAGTGAAGGACACGGATAATCACCTTAGCTCAAGCAAAAACATACTAAGGGAATCAAATGAAAACGTTTTCCTAGGCAATGAAGCATAGCTACTGTGGGTTAGGGTCTGGCTCCCAGTTTTGAAATGTGGCGCTGACACGATGTAGTTTTTGTGAACCATGTCAGCAAGAGGGTGGGTGTGAAGCCTGTGTCCAAACAGTGCACCACTGGTGCGCACGGCTCAGACAAGCTGAATGGAGGGAGTGCAGACATCGCTGCAGCGGCTCTCCTCATCACTGCCCATGTGACTATGGTCTCCTTAATTTCTCCAAGGACACAAGGCACACAGCTGCCGCACTTCTCCATCAGACATTAGAAGAAGACTCGAGCCTCAGACCCCATGGCGCTGCGGCTTTCACGGTCCTGACAAGAGAAGCCGTGACCATTCGGCAGTTTCTATCTCACCATCAGCACTGGAGAGCTTTTAAAATTGATTCTCATTGCACTGACTCTCGGACACCACTGATGGCAAGACATATCATTACACTCTGCATCAGCACACAGGGGACCATCTGGGTTTGATTAGATCACGAATGTCCTCGTCGGTAAGGCCCATGCTATCCACAAGGCATTAAACCGTGAGCTAGAGCTGCATCTCGGGACTGACGAAAGGCTGGCTGAGAGGATTCCTGCTGGAGAACGATGAGGTGTTACCCTTTAGATTCTAATCTGGTCATTTCTTCTTTTTAATACTGATCTCCAGTAATAAAACCAAACCAAACCAAACCAAAGCCATCCTTTCCTTGTACCCTGGATCATGAGAATACAGAGCCTTCCGATTTCTCAGGTTGAGTCAACAATCTGATGGTGATTTTTGTCTGAAAATTTCATGGGCATCCTTTAGCTCCTGATCAAAATCATCCAGACAAACTGAACATGAACTTTTGAGACAATAAAAACCCCTTAGGACTTTGGTGAGGATGTTAAACCAAACCAAACCAAACCCAGCTGATTTCCTGTAGAACTTCAAGATTTCAAAAGATGTTGAAATTTAACACTCCACTGTAAATCTCAAAACACCAAATTTTAGAGACTGTTAAGATAAGCCTCTTATCCCACATTCTATATATTTATTATCACCAGACGTTTGGACATTATAAGAAAATGCACTTATTATTCCTCTTTCCATGACACAGGATGGCTAGAATACAGCTACTAGCAAAACCCAGAAAGCCTGGAGGCAAAATCTCAAAATGGCTACAAACAGGCAGTCATTGCTGTTGCTTAATGTCACCGCCTCGTGGCTATTCCTGTTCGTCATGGGCTTATGGTAAGGTATCAGTCTTTAAGCATGCAGACTGTCCATCCTCCACTGGGTCTAAAATACCTTCAGGTACACTCCCAAAGTACACAAATCACGTTTTACTCATGCTGCACCTCATCTCGCTGCTTTTATCATTCACTTCTAAATCAAATCGGGACATTATGAAGCTGGCCATGCACCGTTACATCACTGTGTTTACTTGCATCTTCCCCAAAGGTGGTGACTTTCCTAAGCAATCATTTTGAACAGGTGTGGTTCTTTCTGGGGAGGCATTCCCATGATCCTATTACCTTCTGTTTGCAAAACCCCCAGGGCTTAAACCTAATCATCCAGCTTTGTAAGTAATTTTAAGCTTCCCACAAGATCACAGGATGCTGCACTTAAAACTCACTCTGTGTTTACCAATAAAGAGCAAAAGATTCTGTCACGTTAGTGAATACGTTGGCCTTTAAAATGAGCATCACTGGGGGCCAGGGATTTAGCTCAGTGGTTCCACCGCCTGCCTCGCAAGCACAAGGTCCTAGGTTTGATCCCGGGTACCCACCCCACCCTAAAAACAACAAGATTTAAAATCGCAGGGCCGGGGATTTAGCTCAGTGGTTTCGCTGCCTGCTACACAAGTGCAAGGACCTGAGTTTGATCCCTGGTACCAAAAAATAAATAAATAAAATAAAATGAGCATCATTTACTTGCTCCGAGGAGAATATTCAGGGGAAAGGCAAATAGATAAGTAGACACCATGGAACACAATATAAAGCAACCGAACTAACATCTGCAAGAGGGCAAGCTAGTTAGGGTGGCGTATTAAATAATGTTAGCCGCAGGCTTCTGCAGGAAACAAACAGCTCCGAAAGTAAAAGGGCCGAGAGTTACCAGAAGACAGTGGTCCCTGGAAGCCACTGAGCAGGATGAGGCCCGTGACACAGTGCCTTGAATGCGGTCTCTTAGGCAACCCGGAGGGAGACGTGCAGGGCTGGTACAGCCTTTGTTGTTAAAGCACAACAAACCCCATCCACCCCCATTTCACTGTGCTGAGGGCCTGGAGGGGGACAAGCCTCCAGTGTGGGGTGGGAAGGCGCCTTCATTTCACACTTGTGAGGGGATGTGACTGAAGACGGTGATGCCAGCTCAGGGCATTCAGAAAACTTCGGGCTTTGGGAAGAACTTCCATTAGTCATACTGGACTGGAGTTCCCTCCCTGTATAACAGGGCCATGGCCAGAGCCCTGAAGAATGAAGATCCAGGCCCTGAAAGAATGTGTTCTAGAGGTGGCCACCTTGAACTCAGTTTTCCACTGTTTCCCAGGAATCATCGACACGGCTGTCCATGGCTCAAGAGAAGGAGAGATACACAAAGCCTCGCTGAATCAGAGAATGTCCTGAACTACCAGCACGAAGACAGTATTTTAGAAAAAATCGAGCCTTGTTACTTTAGGTCAACACCTTTGCCCAAGGAGAGAAAATGTAGTGTGAGGTCTCCTGGTCCACTCTGAAGGGCAGGCACCATGACTCAGGTTGCGTTCAGACAGAGAGTGCGTCTATGTGAACAGGAGTCTTCTAAGTCCGCTACGTTCAACAGGGAGATTCACATCCCTCTGTCTAGCTCACCAAATGTTTAGAATTAGTGGAATCCAGCTGTAATCAGTGTCCTGGGTCCCTCCTCCCTCCCCATCAGATACACACATCACACTCATTCAAACGAAACAGCCAATTCCACCCAAGACCCTGAGTGAAGCACTTGGCATTCATGACTGCATTAACTCCTCGTGGGAACCATATGAAGTAGGCTGGGGACAGTCACACAAATCACACAAGGTTGCACACCTCCGAGAGCTCTCCCTCTAGCGCCCCATCTCTATTGTAAACAAGGAAATGGGCAGAAGAATACTTTCTGATACTTTTTCTTCAAGAAGTTCCAAGGTAATTTCCGACTCAGTTCCTGCCAGGGGACCACAGGCAGCTTCGGTGTGATCTGAATTACTGGCTTTTCCAGCAGTGGACGATCATGAGAGCCCTCAGCCAAGTTTTGAGGAGCTGCTCTGTGGCAGATGCCTCATGCCTATTACCACAGTTTGTCCAAAGCCACCTCACCGTAGGTATTGGGCACAGCTCTGGGGCTGAAGCCGCGCGTTCAAGGTCACACAGCTGCCCTGACTGTCTGGCTGCTCATTCTTCCCTCCCAGTCTGCGGCTCCCCTGGCAAAGCCAAGACCATGCAGAGAAACAGAAGCGAACGTACTGGTGTTGGCCACGAGGCTGGAGGGAAGAAGCAGCGGGGAGAGGAGAAGCAGTGCTCACCTGACTCCACGCGCCAGCCTTCCATCTGGGGCACCGTCCTCTGCGGCACCGTCTGTGCCCATGCGGCTTAGCAAGGTGCCCACAGTGCTCACTCTCTAAACGGCTTCCATCTCTTGCCATGCAGTGAACATTTCGTTGCTTATGCCCTCGACCGCAAGAGACAGAACACTGCAATACAAAGCAATGGCAAGGTTGTTGTTGCTTTTAATCACACGGAGTTCGATAAAAACCTGCGCTGTGAGATGCTAAGATCACGTCGAATGAGAGTCAACACTTTTTCTAGTGCCATTTTGGATAATATCTCAAGACCTGACAGGGCAGGAAGTGGCATTGGAAAAAGCGTCCAGCAGCAATCTCGTATGGCATTGCTCAAGAGTATAGGTAAATACTGATAATTTAACCCCAATATAAAGCTCACAACCTGAAATCATCATGCAAGTTTCACTGAAAGAAGCCCAAGTAGCAAACAGGAAGATACATCTTCAACAAAATGCCTTGAGATTCACTGCCTTGTGAATGCACTGATGGTCCATTTCCAAAATGCAACTGTGTTCAATTTTTTTAATTAAATGATTTAAGAAAACTCTTCAGGCATTTTCCAGGGAGAAAGCTCTGATTTTTCCTAGTCCATTGGGAAAGAGGTGAAAAAGTCACGTTAGAAACTAAAAGGTAAGCTAGCAGGTAAGTGCCAATTTCAGGAGGAAGGCATTACCTTTCAGCTCTGATCTGCAGGTTTGCTGGACGGGCCTAATGTGACCTTGTCTGACCACATCTAAGACATTTGACTTTGATTTCAGATTAGGTTTCTCAGAAAGGTTTCAAAATCAAAGAGCCCATGGAGTCTGGACAAAAATTTGATATGACAGCTTCTTGCAGAACAGGCAAGAGGCCAGCCCCAAGGAGTGCACGGGGACGTTCAATGTCCATCGCCTCATTAGCGATTACAGAAGTCATTACCACTCTATCCTAAGCTTCTGGCTCAGGTTTTTTATATTTCCCAATATAACGGTCTTGGCTTCAAAAGGAAAATGAATTTAAGAATGAAGAACAAAATGGGAAAATGCGATGGAAATAGATTTCAAGTGACATTTCAATATTTCTTATTTCTCCTACTAACTTTGTTAGCTTAAATTTCCAAAGTACCCTTTTATGCCTAGTAGATAAATAGCTCCAAGTAGAACGAGGGGTCTCACATTAATTCAACATGATTACCAGGCATGCTCAAAGTTACACCATTCAGAAACTGCCAGACATGTTGGAAAACACAAACCATTATAAAAATTTCAACAGTAACTGGTAATCTGAAATATGAATATTAACACACTTGGCTTTAACTTTTCACTTTAGAAGGGGGAAACGTTCATTTGAGCTCGCATCTGATGAATACTATGACTTGGAGTAGCTATTCTGGAAAGCTTAATGGTATACATTATGGAAGGAAGGAGTCCAGTTTGAACATCTACACCAAAACAAAACTATTCATCCTTCCACTTACAGTGTTCTGATTTGCATAAAGACTTGGGGATATACTTTTGCAAGGCTTTCAGAATGAAGTTCTTAGAAGTATTCCTATAAATTTCTAAGAGTGGTCTAGCGACTTGCACAAAGATAATTCTTATTTGTGACCAATTTTAGTATTAAAATGTTACTTCAACAAGAAAATAGTATAAGGGCACAATTTGAAATTGGGATGATTTCATTTGTTTATTCAACAAACATTTATTGTTTATTCTACCATGTTCCAGAAATTATGCAAAATACTGGAGCTAAAGTAATGATAAAACTGACACAGTCCTTGAGACCCACACCGGACATTAACACTAATCAAGTGATGACAAAAGCAGTACTGGGCTTGATTTTTGTTCAGGTGAGCACTGTGAAGCCAAAGGGCTGCGGTGGTGGCAGAGGCTCGCTGAGGCAGTTGTGGGGCCAGACTCACCATGGTCACAGGACACAGCAAGGACTTGGGAAATCACTGAACAGTTCTAGTTCAGGGTAAGACATGATCTGATTTTTGTTTCAAAACCTCTACCTGACTACTGAGCAGAAACTAAACATGAATACCATGTGAGCAGAAACAAGGGGCCCCCAGGAAGCTACTGGATCTGCACAAGTGAGAGGCCACGGTGGCCCAGAGGCGAGTGCAGGGTATCTCAGTGGGGAAAGCTGGTGAATTAAAGAGTTGTGTTTGCGAAGCAGAGCTGCTAGAGGCTGACGGACCAACTGTGGGTTAAAGGGAAAGGGCAAACTCGAGGGAGGCGTCCGGGTTTCTGGTTTGGGCCACTGGGCAGATGGGGTAACATCTGTCACATGTTAAGACACAGAGGATACTGGGGAAACAGCAGTGGAAGTAAAAACACATTTGTCTGTAGGAAACGGGTTGGACATAGAGAACATGGAATCATGGGTGGTGATATTTGCCTGATCAGAGTGAAGAAACACAGTTGTCTTACAGTAATCAAATGAACCTGGTTGAACTTAAAGCAAGTTAGCCCTGGGGACAGTCATTTCAGTACACAAACAGTTCAAACAAGCTGTCCCTTGAGATGAAGGGGTCAGAGAGTTGATGGACAGGCCGACTTAGTAATCAGATACAGGCATTGGAAGACACGGGTTAAAGGAAAGCACACTACAGAGGCAGAAGTAGCAGAGGCTGAATTCTCTCACAGCACTGCGGGCCAGGCCGTGCCCCAAGACTTGGTATGCATTATCTCTTTAACCATCCCGACAGATCAACAAAGCTTAATAACAGGCCTAGGTATAGCATTGAGGACAAGTGATGTTTCAAAATTGTACAGCCACAGTGCTCTGCATATTGCTTCCCACCTGCTGCAGCACAAGTCTGCATTTCTGTTGGGAACAATAAGAGCACAACCAAAACCCAGTTAAATTGTACACAACTTCCGGGGCAGTAGTTCATCCAGGAGTCTCACTGATGTCACCGACTTCTATTGCTGATGAAATGGAGACTGATGGAAGTAATTTCTAAACAAGATGCCTCCAAGCTCTGTTAATGTCTGCATTAGCTGCATCCTACCTAGACAGAGGTGCCTTTTGCTTATTTGGGGACTTGAATGGACCTGACTTAGAACAAAGAATGCAATCTTTAGCATGATTCACCACACATGTTCTTTTCTTGAAATTACGAAGCTCTAAATGTGATTAGGGAATTCTCAAGGTAACTAATCTGACAGCAAACAGTCTTCATTTAATGCTTTCTCAGTTATCAATGAGGAGAAGCAGCTGTTCGTGGAAATTTTCAAACCTCACAGGTTTATTAATAGGTCTATTGTGGCTTCATGAAAGAGCTGTCATTTTGATAATTAAATAAACACAAGTTTTGGCTCTTTCATTCTGGGGGAAATTCCATCTTTTCATTTCCAGTCTTTTCCCAGGCATAGGATGATTTTTATATCAACATGCATTGAGCTATAATAGTTACATTTAGTGTGTCACCTAACACATGTTAGTTACTGGCTACATGTCTGAGAGTCTCGCTCTTGGGAACATTTAATTCCTTAATTGTGCAGCTGAAATAGTTTCCTAGTTTGCCCATAGGACTTCGACTTTTTCTTCTCAGGCAACAACCCAACTTTTTTTGGTACCGGGGATCAAACTCGGGACCTTGCGCTTGCAAGGAAGGTGCCAGAACCACTGAGCTAAATGCCCGGCCCCCAACCCAACTTATTTAAGAGACTGATTTTTTCCCCCATCTTTGAGCAAAATTCTCAAACAAGGTAATCTCTGCTTACTTAGGAGCCCAAGGTCAGCCTCCCAAATGTCTGGACTTTCAAGCTTTTGTTTTTGTGAGGCCCACTGAAGGGATATTGCAATGTGGCACAGTGTTCAGACAGTACTAAAACTTTCCACGAAGGCTTAAGAGTTTGAAATTCTTGCACTGGAACTCATCTGGTGGAAATGACACTCTGGATGTGGGCAGTGTGTCCTTATCCACTCAAGGACGTGGATACCACCTGACGGACTTGAGTCCAGTGTGCTGCCCTGGACTCCTCTCACTTATGCTGAAGCCATGGTTTCTTAGTTATCAAGCCGCCAACGAGCTGCTTGTGTCTACCTGATGATAAGGGCTGACGACCCAAGGAGAAGGAGACCCTCGAACTCCAGAGCTTCTGGTGATCCCAAGCAAGGAGTCTGCAGAGCTGGTAAATTCACCAGGAGGAGCCCAGAAGAAGTAAGAAAGGAGGGGTCAGGAATGTGCCAGAACCTGGACTGGAAGCTTCTGGGTGGGGCTAAGATGCAGAGCTCGGAGGAAGGCCCGGAGGGTGGGTGCAGACCAGGACTGCCCGGCTACAGCGATGCCTCCTGCACAGGAGGAGGCAGCAGGCAGCCCTTGCAGCCCTGAGTCATGTATGGACACAGGTGGTCCACAGCCTGCATGGCTGAGCTTCTGTACACATGGGAGGGTGGCCAATTGATACATACTTCCAGATACAGGAGTGGCTCACACAGGTTAGAAGTAAGGAGGATCGGAAGGCCAGGAGAAAGGTTAGACACTAGAGCTCACTGCCAAGTTAAACCAAGACTCTTCTAGAGGTTAGTTAGGTGGCTAACCACCACTAGGGGTGGGTGGATAGAGCTCTGTTTGGAGACAGGAGATGGTATTAATTACTTTTCAAGGCCTTTCCGAGGTGATTCCATAGAATCTGAAAGCAACATCTACATTGCTTCATTTAAATAATGGTTGGTTGTATCTTTTCATAACAACAAGTTCTGATCCTACCCTCATTTTGACTTTATTTAACCTCCCCTGGAAAGTAAGCTATCAAAGAAGATGCAGGGGGCTGGGGATTTAGCTCAGTGGTTTCGCCGCCTGCTGCACAAGCATAAGGACCTGAGTTCGATCCCCGGGACCAAAAGAAGATGCAGGGCTTCCTCCACAGTTCCAGATTGCCTTTGCCAATCACAGTGACAAATGAGATGTCCCATACGAGTGTCACACTATTGGAAAGGCAAAAAGACACCTGCCTGTACCTAGTGTTCCATCAAGGAGAGTATGTAAGTAAAAGCATATGGACGTAGGAGTCCGAGTTTCAAACACTGCTCAATGGAAAGCCATGTGGGCTTGTCACAGCATAAAAAACGTAGCAACCCACATGTATTTGTCCATGATTTCTACACTGTAGGCAGCCAGCAACTTACAGAAACAAACAAACACATGAAACTTCCAACCTACACCACAGAGTGTACCGCAACTAACTAAATGCTGTTTTCATAAAGAGCCACCTAGAACCTGGCTTACTGCACTAAGGTTGAACTAACCTGACACAAGTCCTCTAGATGCAAGGTCACCCCAAGATACTCTTTCAGGTTGAGCAGACCTAGTGCAAATCATCTGGGCTGTGAGCAGCACACTGGGCGGGAGGCCTTAAGTACACTGGCTCTTGTCATTTAATCTTCAAAGCACTGTGGGGCTTGGTATTATCAGGGTTTCTTTTCACATAAGGAGACTGAGGGTCCAATAATGCACACTTGCCCAGGATAAAAAGTCAGGAACAGCAGAGTTAGTTAGGCTTTGCATACAGCATGCCTGTCTCCGTTTCAGTCCTTAAACTGCACCTGGGTAGAAGGGCAGGCTGCTGCTCCTCTCTGCCTACTCAACACAATGGCAGAAAGCACAGGCCTCAAGAAATGTCTCTTAAGAGGGTTTCAGTGTGCTCTGAGTCCTCAACCCTCCAGGGAGAGCAGCTGTGCTGTTCAGAGTTCTGACTTCAACACCTTATTCCCTACCCTAAGTGCCTCAGGAAGGGAGACATCATGAAAAGCAAATACACAGTCACAGACACTAAAAGCCTCCTTCTTGCTGGTCGAAGCCACACCTGCTTTCCTCTTGACCATGCTGAGAGGTTCTTAACCCTTTGGAGTCTGTCTGATGTCCTGTAGGGAACTGTTATTTCCGGGGCCTGGCGAAGGGCTCTGGCATGGGCCTGCGTGGAAGGCTGCAGGCTGTAACTTTGGGCCAGACAATTCACTCAGCACTAACTGCTCAAACGTGGAGCCATTGGGAATCTCAGAGATCATTCGGCTCATCCATGTATCTCACAGACACTCGCACTGCACTCACTGGTTCCCTTTCAAGCTGGGCATCACACCCTGAGCCAGCGAGATGGGCGGGGCAGCGCAAAGGCAGGTGAGGATTGTGCACTTCTGGCCTTGAGGACCTGCGTCTACAGGAACAGGAGTGAATGGGCTGATGGCTCCAAGGCACCAGTCAACACTCAGGTCCGCGAGCAATGGCAGCTGGCTGTGTGTGGGGTGCTGGTCCTTGTCCTGCTCTAAAGGCAGCAGAGGGCTTGCATCAGACAGAGCTACAGGCACAGGTGCCCCTTTACCTTGGTGCCACTGGGGCAAGTGACTTACCCTCCTTGGGCTCGGCTCTTTCTCTACAGTCACAGCAAGCGTGAGCAGTATAGCCGGGCAACAATCAATGGAGGTCACGCAAACCAAGCTCCTACCATGGTGGCCAGACAGCGTGAAAATAATCCCTATTCAACACCACCACCACCACTTCTACTCAATGTGTTTCCAAAAAGAACACTTCCAAAAAGATAAGTGTTTAAAAATATTTGTCAACTGAATGTAGTCTAAGATGAACGTTCTAACAGAGATGCTGATGGTAAAGGTGGGATCTAGTCTGGCAAAATCTTACCCTGGTGAATAAGCAAAGTGTTTTCCTTTCCAAAGGGCACAGAGAAATCCACAGAGCAGACATAACATTAAAGTTACTTTTCTACGGCCCTTTCCTCACCTATAGTCGATTGCTGATTTTTATGCTCTCTTCTCACCAGAGTAAGAGCAAGAAAGATACCATGTCCCAGGCTGCATCTCTTTCCACTCCATCATTTCCTGCTCATACTTCTCATCTCTGGGACTGCTTCTGCTTCTCCTTTGTGTTGTGACGCTAGGTCTCGAATGCCCTGAGACAGAGCTGGCTCCAGTGAGGACCGCTATGGAGCACACATCCACCCCTGCCCTGCTGGCCAGGCTCCTCCCGGGAGTGGTCACAGGCCTCTGCCCAAGAGCGTGTGTCCTGTTGGCCATGTGAGCCCATTTAGGTTGACTTTTGTAGGGCTTCTCACAAAACAAGAATGGCTCTAAACAGGGCCACCAAAAAACCAAAATATTGAGGAGGAAAGCAGGGACAGCTTCACCGGGAAACAAGGGCTGTGAGTTTGGGGCATCGAGCCAGTGCTGACAGCCTGCCTGATGGCTGTGTATGCCTGGGACCACCCTGGCACTTATTACCATGTGAAGGAGCTGAGAAAGCACAGACTGCCAGGAAACACCACAGAAGAGGGCGGATGTGAGAGCAGTCGCCAGCCGGATGGGCACTGGGCCACCCTCGATCCCCACCGCCCCATGCACTCTGCCTTCGCAATGCTACAAAGGCCTCAGAGAAGGACTGAGGTTCACACATCAACTCCTGGAGCACACTCAGGGCTGCAGTCACTTCTAGGGCCAAGTAGGTGGCCCTGCCTAACAAAGGGGACAGGACCCCACAAGGCAGGGGCAGCGCGGCGCTCCTGCTCTGCACCCCCATCTCCAGGGATGAGGAAGCACAGGCCCCCCCTGGGGGCTTCCTCCCCCACCTGCACAGTGTAACAAGTCTGTACCAGCGGGAGGAGGATGGTTGAACAGTAGACATACATGAAACGAGCTGCACAAGCTGTGAAACCCCATGCTTTTGTTTCTCAACAGTATGACTATGCCGGTGTTTCTCCCCATCAAGAGAGAACCGAAAGCCAAAAGAATCTGCAGATGCTTTACCTGGTGAGTTCTGTCCTGGCCATATCTAGGGGTGTGTTCCATCACCAGGCCCTGACCCCCAATTCCCAAGCACACTGACTACTTTTATAGGATCCTTTCCCTTTCAAAATTGTACAACCCGACTTCAGCTGAATTGTGACATTGGCATTTTTCAGGAAAGTGGCAAAGGTGAAGGTGGAGTAAGGAGCCCTCTGTGCCTGCCACAGGAGCGTGTATGAAAGCAGTCTGGATGGCAGGGAGGATGCTGGGTGAGACACAGGTCCCAGGGCCTGTGCCAGCTGTGCACCGGTGAGTGAAGAAGCGCCGGAGGAAGTCACCAGTGGGAAGCTACGGCCGGTGGGGCGGTGGCCAGGCTCTCGCTGCTTGAAGGTGGGGGTGCTCAAGGCAACCCGGGGCTGTCAGTCTGCAGGCACCGGAGTGCAGGGACCCCACCTGATGCCACCTCTTTACTGTCCACAGCAGTCAAGTTCAGAGCTCGACACGCCAGTCACCATCAGAAATGTTCCCACAGGAAGGCATCAGTGCACTCTGCTCCTGACTCTCCCATGCTTGATCTGTGTCCACCCCGTGGACATCCTCTTCCCAAAGAGCTGTCCACGTGTTCATCAGCCACTGAAGGACACTGAGACAGACAGCATTTCATCGCCACACCCAGTCCTGCTCACTGCCTGTCTGGCCTCCCACCCGAGAGCTCCAGGTAAAGCAGCGTCTCTGCAGGTCAGCTGTCACATGCTGTTGGCCTCTGCGTCCCTGGGTGGTTCCATATCCATAGATCCGACCAATCCGGGGCACAGTTATTTGCAGCACCGCTAGGTGTTCTAAGTGGCCTGGAGATGGCTTTACATACCGAGGAGGACCGCATGGGCTGTACGCACGCACTGTTTTCTGAAAGACACTTGAGCACTCCCACCTGTGGAGCCGCAATCTGTCAGGGGTCCTAGGACTAATCCCCCAGGTACCAAGGGACGAAAGTTTATACCTATTTCAGGAAGCCGCTCATCGAATCACTTGGGTTTGAGGTGGAAGTAATGTCACCCCAGGACTGAGATGTGCACGAGTATCTGAACCAACATCGTAACATCTGAGCTAACCTCAAAACAGAAGGGGAGAGGGGCATTTTACCAATTATTGAATCAGGTGCTCACCCTCCAGCTTTCAACTGCTTTGCTGACAGTTCAGACGGCGGAGTGCCTCTCAGTCTGCATTATTTGAGTGCTTCCTGTCTCTCCTTGTCCCCCACACCTACTGATAAAGAAGACTCAAAAGCACCACCATGAAAGTAACACGGTGAGAAGCAACGAAAACCAGCCAATGTGTCAATGGCTTTCAACATGGAAGACTTGTCTTTAGAAGTGGTAACAATTATGTTCAATGGTTTTCTGCAAATTTAAATGATCCTGTACTACTCTGAGAGTTATTCCAACAGAAATTCAAGAACTGAGGCAGAAGACTGTGGTAGTTATGCACCCAGTCCATTGTCTGAGCTGCTGTGGTCTTCTGAGTTGCTGCAATGGCCTGGCCTTCTAGACATTTCCCTGCCTCCATCATTTTGTGTGTCATATTTGAGTTTGAACCCAGGGCCTCGCACATGCTAGGCAACCACTCCACCACTGAGCGATTTTTGAGCTAGGGTCTCTTTAAATTGCCCAGGGTGGCCGCCAACTTACAATCCTCGGCTTCCGCCTCCCAAGCAGCTAGGGTCACAGGTTTGTGCCACTGCATGTGAGTCCTACTTCTGTCTTTGCTTCGCTTATAGCCTCCCTGAATTCAGAAGCCAGAGCCGTCCTTTCAGAACAAATTCATGTTCTTATTCAACACCGAGTCCCACTGCAGTGGCTTCTATCTCAAAGTGAAAGCAAAACTCTGCCCAGGGCGTGCCCCTCTCCTGTCCTGCCCACAGGACACCTTTGTGCTGCCTCCCTCTAAACTGCACACCCTGTCCCTCTTCACCCCACCACCCCTGTCTTCCCATCACTCAGATGCTCCCGGCAGCACTCCTATCCGGGTGCGCACATTCTTTGCTTTTGTATTTTCCCATATCTTTGTTCAAATTGCACCTTCTGAATGGAAAACCTCCTTAAAATAATAGTCCCACCCCTCTTCCGTGCTGTCCCTGTCCCTTTTCCCTGCTGAGTGTTACCTGTAATGCTTTTCACCTTCCTCGCTTTCCTTCTGGGTTGTTATTTATAGGCTGCTGTCCTACTAGGATAGAAGCTTGATGGGTTTTCGGGTTTTGTGTGTTTGTTCCATCCCCAGTGCCCAGAACAGTGTCTGGTGTTTGCAAAACACTCAGCTACAGATGAATGCACACATGGATATTATCTAGTAGAACCCAGAGCCACTTATAGCACAGAATACTTAAGGATTGCAAAGCTTTCTGCCCTATGTTCAGTTTACTGTAAAAACCAAATAAATAACTATTGCTCTCTTCAATTTCCGGTGTCCATTCAGTCCAAAACTGGCTCGTGTGTTTTAATATTTAATTCACAGCTGCAGGATTAAATACTGCACAGGGGACATCTAAGAGGAAGGTTGTCTGACAGTGTGCTCTCAGGTACGCAGCTGACAAGGGCAGAACTAGGAGCCCAGCGCCCAGCACCTGCACATGAAGAGGGGCACGAGAGCCCCACTCTGAGCCATTGATGCCACCGAACAGCCCGAGTGTTCCACGACGCTGTTTCTCCTCCCCAGGGATGTCCCCTCAGAGTGACACCCCTTTCCAGATGGAAAAATGTAATCTACAGACTGAAGACAGAAAGCATAGAAATGTAGCAGATGAGAATTCTACAAGGCCCAGTATTTTCTGTCTCCATTCTGGCTGGGAATGTTGAAAAGCAAAAAACCCTGAAGATTCACACTTCTGTCCTAAGACAAAGTGTCTCAGTTTGACACCCATCTTTTTAAAAGACCTCCTCTTTCATTGAGAAAAACGCTTTCAAGCTGTAGGCCACCCAGACTATGACAGCAACACTGAGCCCAGGATTTTCTGACTGTAAACTTGATAGAAGGAAATCACCAGCATCCTCCTGCCCACTAGCCAGCCCCACCCAGTCTGTTAAGTGGGGCCACTGCTATCAAAACCCGGGGTTCTAGCCAGCCCTGGAAGCCCTGGCTCAGCTCCTGGGCCCTCTCCTTGCAAACACACTGGTCTTCATCCTTCTGGGGCACTGCCAGCATGCGGGGAAAGCTGTCTCACTTTGGGGTCCTATCTGGGAATGAGAGGTGACCAAGTCAATTTCTGAGTTCCCCTGAGAACCTGCTTCATACTTAATTGAGCCTTAAAAAGGCTCAATTCAAAAATGCAAATATTCAGTAACCTTTGACGTGGTAAGTGAAATAAACAAAACCCAGAATCTAGCTCAAAACTCTTCGGAAACATTTGGATCTCAAGGACTCAGCTTTGGGGGGGGGGCAGCTAAAACAATTTTCACTTAGGCAGGGCTGTGTGTGTGTGTGTGTGTGTGTGTGTGTGTGTGAAATCGGAACTAGGATTTCTAGAAGCTTCTCAAAGGAGGCAGTGGGAAAGCTTTGGAGTCCATCAGGCCTGGATCCAAGAATTACTGACTATGTGATGCTGGGAAACCTGCTTAGCTTCCGCTGTTTCAATCTTCCTACCTGCATAATGGTCACAGGATCCATTTTGCAAAGATTATATAAGGATTAGTAAGAAGACATGCAGAACGCCTGGCTTAAGGGGCATCTTCGTTATTATGTCTCCACTTTCAGTCAGGACCCTCCAGCTAATTGCTGATGGCACCTCAGGAGCTGCATCAGAGATGCACACCAGTCACGTGGACCTCACTGCCATGCATCAGTGGCTGTGGGTGCAGAAACTCGGTTGTGCAGACACGGGAGCCGTCAGGGGTGGCTGCAAGGGGTTTTTCTTTGAAGATCAGCATGTGCTCAATTAACAGCCAGAATCACTGGTAAGGAAGTCAAAGTTCTAATTATAATTCTGAAGGACTTTTAACATAGTGCACTAACAATTTAAGGTTCTAATTGATTCTGGGAGATGGCACCTATTTGCCTTATGAAAAGGGGTATCTCTTCTATATTGGACACTAGTGTGAATTTCTGTATTTTAATAAAAAATTTCTGTGGTCTTCCATCAAATAAAGTTTAGACATGGCAGAGCAATGGATTATTTCATTAGCACTTTAGTCCCACTGTGGAACTTCTGTGGCCAGTGCAGCGGCAGGGTTTGTTTTGTGTGCCTTTCTGCTACAACAGACTTCTGGTCCACTCTGAAAGCTGTGGAGCCACTGTGGAGCCACTGTGGTCTTACTGCCATTGTTTGTGACCTTCAGAAGAAGACTTGAGATTGATTTGCCTTCTGGAGTCCAGAGCTGCGGCGTGTTCTTTGCCGTTATGTCTGCATGCTGAGTGTGCACGCGCACGTGGGGGATGGGATTGGAAGCTGGTAAATACACAGCATCTCCACCTGCTAAAGCAGGAAAGCTATGCAAAGAGAAAACAAGGTATCAAGCCAGAGCTCAGGAACCTCTTCCCCAGAAGCTCAGGTACAGAAAAGCCAAGCCGACGCCACAGCTGGAAAAGCTGACTGCCTGAGCACTGCTACCTCTGCTGCACAAGAATGAGGTGACAAGAGGTAATGCACACCAATAGCTGGGGATGTCCGTAAAATTTCTCCTCCTTGAGAGGAGGAAGAGAACTATTTTATAACCATAAAGACTTCTTTGTCTTAAAATACAGTGATCTGGTATCAAGTATATTTGGCCAATGCTACAGATTATGCCCAGCTAATTCCCATAAGAATATGAAAAGATAAAGTTCTGCTGCAAGAAAGCCATAGAACTACGGGGGAGGGATGGATCCCTCACACACCAGGGGACATCTGGCAATGACTGAAACATTTTTGGCTGTCACAGATGACAGGGTTCGGTACTGGCATCTACTGGGCACAGACCAAGGATACTGGTGAATACCCTGCAATGGCCACTACTGCCACCACCACCAGGAACTATCTGGACCCAGACGCCAACAGGGCTGAGGATGGGAAACCTGGCTTCATACTCAAGTCCATGGAACGCCCTGTGAACGCTATCTATGCATCCAGTTAGAAGCGTGGCCTCCCACTTCCCAGGTAAAAGGCTATTATTAATCCTTTGGAAAATGAGTGTCCCAAAGAGAAACCTAAATACTCTGGTGCTCAAGCTTGACCTTCCTAGGTATTGCTGGATTGTTATAGACCTGCATATTCTGCCACTGATGATTAAAGTGTGAAATTAAAAAGGAACCTGTATCATATGCACAGTCAGAGCTAATGGCACAACCCTGCCACGAGTATTCGGAGGAGGAGCCTTTGTTTTCGGAGAAATGTCCACCTACACTCAGCCCATTCTCTACAGACTGGGCGCCTCCCCCACGCTGCCGCGAGGAGGGTCTGCGGCTCCTATCGGGCACATCTGCGGACATTTGCAAGACCCTCCTCCTGCTCTCCCACCCTCCTCAGGGGCGGTGCTGCACAGTGGTTTGCAAGTTCACAGCCTGGAGAGGCAACCTGGAGACCTCCCATCGTTGGATTTGACAGACTTGGATGGCTTCTTGGGCTCTCACTTTAATGTTTAATGTTTAATGGGAGAGTCAACTCTAGAGAGGAGAAATACTGCAGCGCGCTGTCATTCCCTAGAGCCTGCAGCTCTGATTTCTGAATGGGACTCCTCCTCTTCAGCAGAGGTCACAACTATGGCACCACTTTGAAGTTTCAGACAGGACAATTGCTGCTGTTGGGGACTGTCCTGTGCACTTCGGCATCTACCACTGCAGGCTAACAGGACCTCCGCTCCTGCCTGTAACAACGCAAACGCTCCAAACGCTGCCAAAGGTCCACGGGGCATCTGGTGGTGGTGGTAAAATTCAGCCCGTTGTTAAGAACCACGCTAGGTCCCCAGAGGGCCCTTCACAAAGTTCTCGGAAGTGACCTGATTTCAATCGCATGTGCAGAGCAGCGGCACAAGCGCTTTTTTATAGACAGAAGCTGTGGGGACTCACGTCACTCCAGGAAGACCAGAGGCTTCAGCTAAGAGGCTGGAATCAATTCGCACACCTAACAGTGGGGCCTGACTCCAGGGAATACGCGTCCCCGACGTCACGTCCCCGACGCTGTGGGGTTCCTGGATGTGTCACATCTGACTCGTGACCAAGGGAGGGAAGTGAGGACTGTCCTCACAGATCCTGCCAACAGGCGTGCAGGAATGGCTGAGGGGTTTTGGTTTGGTTTGGTTTTGAGACTCAAGGAAAACAAATACAAACAGCACACATTTTTGGGAAATATCTTTAGTTTTCAAAGGAATCTGGACCGGGAAGCAGTGGATAAAAAAGGAACAACTGGATATGACCAGCTATGTAGTGGAGTTTAATTGCAAGATTTGCAACTAAGTCAGGGTTTCTGTGAGAAAAAGGAAGAAAAAAAACCCAAAACACCTCACTATTCCCAAAGGGGTTTCATTTCAGTTGCAGAGAGGGGGGTGCAGGGAAGAAGAGGGGAGGAGACCAGGAAAGAACAGTATGGTGAAGGGCAGTGGTACAGAAGGAAAGGCCGTTTTTGCGGAGCTAGGACTGTAACACCCACTCCTTTTATTATCATTTTATTAGGGTGCAAATCCGGACTAAAAACAGCTTCTTAAAATGTGTCATTGTTTTTAAAGTCCTGAATAGATCCAGATGTACTCTTTATTCCCTTGTGAAAGAAAACACATACTGTAGATATATCTGTGCTTTTTAAAGAAATTTAAAAAATAATATAGTTTGAAGATTTTGAGTTATAGAAAATTGCAAAAACATCAAAAAGACCTTTCTTCCCTGTCTAGAATCCCCAACTGTCATTTTACCACTGCCCTCCTCTCCTATCGGGCATTATCTTGTCTTTTCTTGAAGAGTTTGAGAAAAAGTCACAGACAGAATGGCCCATCATCAAACAAAGCCTAGCTTCGGCACATCAAGGAGCCTGTCCTATCTATGTAAGTATCACCTAACTTTCTAAATCAGGACATCACTATTGACACAACACCATAGAACAGCCCCGTGTCGTTTCGTTTCTGGGTTTCTAAATCAGTATAATGAGGATCAAACTTGTGCTTAGCTGAGCCCATTCATTCATTCCAATACTGTTTGCCACGGGGACCAAGGGATACAGGGAGGGCTGGGAGAATAAGGGTAAGGAGAGGGAGAGGACAAAAAACAAAGAACTGAAAGCCACTGACTGTCCCACAGTGCAAAGGGGAGCTCAATTCCTGTCATTGGTTTCAGCTCAGGAAAGAGTCTGAAGACATTTCAATACATTTAGTATGTTTGACCTTAGTTAAAACTAAAATTCTGGTCCTAACCCAAGTTGTTTGTATGCCAGTCCTGCCATGACTAAGTGGTCCACCCCAGAGGTGTATCTCAGGCAGTATGAGTGACGTGCTT